CTGGATTATGATTAATCACCAAGTCTAATGATACAGTCATCTACATAATAAATCTTATTATAAATAGCCTTATGCTGATATGCAAAGATATCATAGGACTTAATCACACAGCATGTCAGATGAACTGTAGTGCCACCACCTAGGACAGTGACATACTCCTTCTTCAAGTACGTGGCAAACCAGGGTCAAAGAATACTTAATTAGAAACCAGAAAGCAGAGTTTTGATTGCTTCCTTACTCACTAGTGTTACTACTTCTATGTCCCCAGCCTTTCTTAAAATCTGTGAGTATACAAAAATCTTCAGAAATCAGTGGAACATTAGAAAAATGTAAACTTCACAGTTTGCCACTTTGATCAGACTGAATGTACCACATCTGTGCATTTCCACAAGTCCTTAATACTGCCCTCTCAGGAACTGTAGCCCACTTGATGTTTCAAAAAAGATAAAATGTTATTAGCTTTTTAAAAAATAATTTTAGACTAAAATACCGTACCAGTAATGGTAGAACAGGCACTGGGCAAACACTTGTATTAGTAGTTATCTAGACAGAATTTTCCTTCAGTTATAAAATAATTAAAGTTTAGACTTTAATGCAGACCCATTCCCTAGGGGTTTGCTAAAGTAACATTCTTCTCTGTCATTAGTATCTGAGTTATAAAAAAAAAAAAAGCCACAGCAGTCTTATAGGGATTTAAACAGTACTTTCAGGCACTGTTTCTGTTTTTTGAATCAATACAACAGCTAATCTCGCTATTTTTCTTCCCTATTCACCCACCTTGTCTCATTCTGATTAAGTCCAGCTAAGACGCAGCTTGTGAAGCTGGACAATTGGGTACCCAGGATGCAAAGGTTTTTGTTATTCTAATTCTATTAGACTTACATAAGCCTCTGAGGAGTCCTCTTCCAATTGAGGTGCCAGGAGCTTGCATTAGAAAACTGTTTGCCTGACCACTGACCAAATCAGAGACAATTCAGCTCTGTGAGAAGGAATGATTGTGATAAAAAAACAGATGCATTTATTTTTCTTACTTTGCAAGTGGAATTAGCCGGGGGGGGGAGGGGAGATACAGAAATATAATACAAAGTAAAAGAAAAAAAATTCTTATGAGGAGAGGTGTAAAACTGTGGGCTGACAACAGGAGAAGGATGATAGAAATATACACGGAAGAAAACCAGAGAATATTAAGGTGAGGCGCTGTGTGTAAGAAATTAATTTTAGCATGCAGAATTGCAAAAAGCTAAAGGAAAACCATACCATAATGAAGTATAAAAATTATTTCCTCCCTGTTTTTCCTTTAACTGAAAATGGATCTCTCCCTGTCTGTCATACAATTAATTCCTTTTTGAGAGTAATGATAAATATGGGGGGGAAAAAAATACCTTTTTTTTAAAAAAAGTCTATTTTCTGTACATCATTTCTTCAATAACTTTGTTCCTGGCTTTTGTGAGTATGCACTGATTCTGATGCATCCATTAATTCTCCTTTTCCTTAAGAATCAAAACACCCAAAACGCAACACTAAGTCATGAAGACTTGCTTAGAATGCTTAGATTTGCCAAGACTGAAGCTCTGAAATACAGTATGATGGTAAGATCACATATTTAATCACGTACATGTAAAATATACAAATATTCTATATAGTCATATAAAAAAATTACAGTAATTAACAGTAACAGTATATAATAAAACACAGGAAAATATTATTTCCCACTTCCTTAAATATTTTTACAGATATTTAAAAGCCACCTTGTCTACTGTGAAATATTTGAATTCTAAGGAAAAGTTCCATTTACATTATTTTTTTATGCATATCTTAAATTTCACAAAGCATGCTCTTTTCCCTATTTCTGTACATCCATGTCCAAGACAGCAAAAACCAGTGAAACGGGTTGAATTTCCATTAAATTTCAGAAATCCGGCTCTACAATTTCTAATAAAAGGTGAAGATTTCTCAGTTCTTAAAAGTAGCACCTAAATGAATGGCAGATAGCAAAATATGAAACAAAATAGATCTAGAGGATGGTACTGAAAGGTATTTTATAGAGAAAGCCTTATATGCTTGGGAATAATCTCTACTGTTCAATGTCCAACCCACAACAGTAGCACTAGTGATCACTGATGTCTTTGCCAGTCCTCACTGCAGCATTCAGAACTGGATGGGACAGGAAGGGCTAATTACACATGGCTTCAAATCCTGTCCTCAGCATTCTTCAGGATCAATGAACCTGTCAGTGAAAGGAAGGCTGGAAACAAATGCATCCCACAAATTCTGTCCCACAAAACTGGTGGGACAACAAAATATTACTCCAAGTAGATACAGAACTTTCTTTTTCAATATTTCCATTTACATATCCCACCTAAGAAGAAAAGTTACTCTAAAACAAAAACATTTTCCCCCCTCCTATGTGTTTGAGGTGACTACAGAAAGAAGGCAAAGAAGTTATTTCTATTTTTGTAGCAAATGAACTAGCTTGACGAATGGCCGTGTGTATCAAAGATTCACTACAAATACCTGAGAAAGAAAAAGTATAGAAAGAAAGAATAAATCAGTAAGACAATGTGATAGTTTATGACTACTATAGAATTGACTTTCAGGTTATAATTTTCTATTAATATTTTGAATCATATAGCACAGGGATGAAATTATTTTCTTGAACCACTTGAAAATTAAAGCATTTATCTTTTTGGAATTTATCTTGTGTAGCTGTAAATGTAAAACTTTAGAATTATCAAAAAGAGTGCTAGAGAATTACCAGCTATTTCAGCCTGATTTCAAATTCTGGTTTTGAGCTCTATATACTAGGAATTTACATACTGTAAAAAAGGCAGTTTTCATGTTACACTTAATTGGCCTTTATATAAAATGTCAGCATTTCAAAGTTTTTATTTGGTTCTAAATATAATAGGAAAAATAAAATATTGACATGACGACATAGTTTAGCGGATTTTTGTCATTAGAGTTGGTGAACAGAAGCCCACAGGGACTGAAGACAACACTTTCAGAAAGGAACATCTGGGGAAAATCTTGCAAGGGACACAGAAAAATAGATCAGTGCCTTAAAATTTAGTTTTCAGAGTCTTTAGTGAAAAAACTTAAGGAAAATAAGGAGATAATGTTAACAATGTTTTCCAGGAAAGGCCAATCCAGGAAAGGCTCCTCAACCATTATCAGAGCTTGTCTTCCTGTCCTGTCTCCATCAGGAAATTCTATTTAGGGTAACCTAAAATGTAGGAGTAAAATGTATCAAAATCAAAATTAACCCAAAATGTGATATTAAGAGTGGTGGGTTGCTGATTGGGGTGGGTTCTTTTCTGTAATGCTTTCATTTTAGTGGGTGTCTGGGGTTTTGGGTGTGTGTTTGGTTTGTGGTCTCTCCCCACACAAACACACTTTTTTTTTACTAAGTGATCAAAGAGTGATGATTGATAGATATACAGATTTGATACATTTTCTGAAATGCAGTCAGCCCATAGTGATTCAATCCAGAAGTAATCTGAGACTAGGTAAAGTAGAATTTTGATTCTTTTTCTATGAAAGCTTATACATGAAGCATTTAATTTAAATACCATTGAGTCCCAACCAAACATATATACTTATATGCACAGACACCATATATTGCAGCCACATGACATTTTACTGTGACTCTTGCAACTACAATTTGCATACAACTTATTAGAACTACCAGCAATGCCTGCAGTTAAAATCTGCTGTTTATCATGCTTCCCACTGAAGTAGGAAGTATATGCAAGTTGGTGGGTTTTGACTGAGGCTTATATTTATTTCAGTAAACCAACCAGAAATGAACACACCTTTCACTTCAGTGAGTGGCCTCGCTCTATTTGCCAAGTGATGCAAGCTTTTTGACCATTTCAAGAGCAAATTATGTTCCAGATTTCCATGGACAAGTTTTGCAACCAGTACTAATGTTTCTGACTTCTAAAAGCTATTTCAAATTAGGTTTTGTGTGATATTAAACAATTTAGATAAATATTTACTATGGCAGGAATAAAACATGGGTTTGTGCTACATAAGCAGACCTCTCTCTCACTGATATACCCACATATGTATATATGTGGTATGTATATATGAGTACCATTACATGGTTTTTTTTTGCTCCTAATTCTTAGCAGAGATTCACAAACTCACTTGGTGTCCCCTAGTGCCAGATTCTATGTTTACATGGCATGTGGAATACAGCAGGCAGACAGAAAAGCTCCCCTGCCTTTGCCCTCTCTGAGGAGGCTGCCATGAGTTGTCACTCTAGCAAATACCAACACAGTTCATGAAATACATTCTACTCTGTAAAACTTGGGATAATTACACTTAATTTTAAGAGGAATACTGTTTATATGAGGAACTAAAGTACACTACTTAAGGATGTCCATAACCTAGACATCACTGCTCTACTGCTTATGCAAAATGCCACCAGTTTCTCTAGTGACATTAATAAATGTTGATACAGAAGATTCCTCTATAGCTTAGGGGTAGCACATGTTTTGAAAAAGCAGCATAACTGATTTTTTTGGGGGAAAAAGCATGACATACATGCTGGCACTGATTAAGCCCCATCTGTGCCAGAAAAAGAATTAAATAAGTGCCTCTCAAGTGTTCTCAGTCAGCTCTATGCCCTTGAACAGACATCCTGCCAATACTTTATATAAAAATGAAGAAAACTCTGGTGTATGAAAATGCTTTCAATCGAAAACACTTTCTTTCTCCTTCATTTAATGGCCTAACAGTATTTGGTGGAAGAATGCTGTAATGTCAGTATTTACAGATATACCTCTCCTGTTAAGGTTGTGTATGTCAAAATAAAGGACATATAGTAATGGCCAAAAAAAGTTTTGCACACAAGTATGCATAAAACCCCCAACAACTGATCATTATGTGTATTTCTATTACCCAACAAAATCTCCTGCACTACAACACCATAAAATGATCTCTGCAGAAGACATTAAAGTGTGCAGTCAAAAGCACAGAGATATAGAAGCACTTACATTTGTACTGTGATCACTTCCACTAACACAGACGACATCTTGTTTTTGAATTGTTAATACCTCTTTCATAAGCTTCAGTCGGATGTCATAAGCATTTTCGGATACTTCATCATACAACAATGCAATGCCAGTTTTAGTCTGTGAAAGCAAGGCACAGAAAAAAAAATTTAAGAATATGAACACTTCATAATGATGAATAACAACCTATATCCCATGCAATACATAAAATGCATTTAAATGAGCACTGCTTACACAAAGTGGAAAACTGGCCTGCTTTTCAGTCTTCAAATGGATTAGATATAAGAAGCCTCTTTTGTACAGTAAAATATGGTCTAAATGGTGTTTGAAGTAGACATTAACATATATTAAAAAAAAAAAAAATATTTGTTGCGCTGTTCCACAGAGGAATGCTGCAATTCAATGATGTCCTGTTTGTTCTTAATTATATCTTATTATGACACTGTATTGGTAGCAGACAGGTACGTGTAAATTTGAACACAGTTTCCAGTTTCAGCAAGAAGTGGGGAAATGCAGTATTGTTCCAGACTTAGAGACATTCCTTCCACTGTGTCAGAAAAAGACCTGTACCCTTCCTAAACACTGGATTTAAGATACAGAGTCCTATTACAGTAGAAAGCTGGTTTGACATTAGAAAAAATAGAAATAAGGACAGGTGTTACAGAATTTCTATTTGTTTATGTCAAGATGGACATATATTTCTGAAGTTACATCATACAAATAACTAGTAAACTCTATAGGACAGTCAAGTATTAGGTATAAGCAACATTTTCTCCATGAGTAGTAAAAAAGAAATTTTAGTTTAATTTTTGATTTATTTACTTACATGCAGATTTCCCACTAATATTCAGTCAGATATTTCCTTAAACAAAAAATGTGGATTTAGGACTGTTTAGAGATATTTGTTAAAATAAGCAGACTAACACAATTCCAGAGCTTTACTACCATTACACAGAAGAGAAAAACACTCATTCTGAAATGGATTATTATATGTAAAAGTAATACCTTCTTATTAATTTAGAACGCATTTAACAGCATCATCACAAAATTGTACTTTCCTCTATGCAACTGAAAAATAACCAGGTATAATTCAAGGTTTAGCTGTAGCATTTGTTACTTAATGGTGATTTAAAATCAAGTTGTTCATCGATGTTTTATTAAACAGTAGACTGTGTAAAGAACAGTAATGGAATTCAAGAAGAAACATGTCTTGTGCACTAAATGAATGCTTGAAGAGATTTTAAAATTAAATTAAACATGGATCATTACCTTCATAACAAAATTAAGGAGAAAGATCTGTGGTGATTGTCAATAAAACCTTTTGGTCTTTAAAGGCAGGATCTCTTTAAGTTGAAGACACTTCAAATTTGGATGTGGTGTGGCTCTATGCAACAACCAAGTGTCAAAGCCTCCCTTACAGTAGAAATGGAAAGTGCCTAGAGAGCAATTCAATTTACCCTGACATATATACACAGCAGTTGCTCGGCTGAATTGTTCATGTGGTGGTTCTATCCCTGGCTTCAGTGCATCTGTCCCCATGTAGGCGACTGCTGCCACTTAAGACACTTTAGGATATCTAAGGACTCCACACATGTAAGGCTGACACAAGGTTTTTAGGCCCTTCTCTACAAGATTTCTATGATTACAATGGGATACAAACATCAGCCATGACAGCAGACATCCACATGTAGGTATCTTTAGCTTGAAATGGATCTTGCAAAAGGTTTACAGTGTAGAAATCCACACCTAGACACTGTCAAGCCAGTAGTGAGCAACAGATGCCTCTGAAGTATGATTTACTTTATCTCTTATACATCCATCTAAAAGTGAACAAACTGCACCACAGCTCTCTACTTTGACTTAAAAATTAAACATAAAAATCAACTCAACTCAGACACAAGTGCCTAACTGTGTAGATAAATCTTGTCCTTAGTGTTTGCTGGGAATGCCTAAAGGAAACAGATCAGTGAGGGTGCAAAGCTTTAATCATTCTCACTTATTTGGAAACCAACATTTCTCCCTTTTCCCAAGGTTTTGAAATTTTTTTAGATTTCCAGAATGCATGGAAATACAATTTTGTGAATGATGACACATTAAAACTGTGCTAAAATCATCTGTTTAAAAGCCGTTCTGTATAGCACCAAGTATTTTCAGACAGAATAACTGCCTTGAAAACCACCATTTCTGCATTTTGCTGCTGTTCAGGAATTGTGTATTGCTATACCACCCAGACTGGCAATTGCTGTTACTTTAGCTGACGTAGCAGAGCCTGCTTTACAGAAACACTGAGAGAACAGAGCTCTAGAGAGCTGTTCAGACAGCCTAAACCTGGAACTTTTCTCTGGCTAGTAATCATTACATATGTTTAGAAGTAACACAATATAAAAATACCTGAATTTTCATTTTTAACAGATGAACAAGTAAGGAATTAAGTATGTAGAGCAACTGATTAAATAGCTTACCATTTTCCATCACTCTACTTAAACTGAAAGTCTCACTGAATCTCATCTAGTCCTATTAAAATCCAATACCTACCTCATGCTCCATCTAACTCCTGACGTGATCCAATTTGCTTTCAGAATCAATAAGATTCATTTAGATTTCTTTCAGCCTTTCAAGTCAGCTCTTTTTAGACCATTATAAATGGCTTTGAATCAGAGTTAGCACAATCCCTTGTTTTCTCTTTGTGTTAAAGAGACGGCATATGTAACTCCAGAGGGTAAATCTCAGTCCACACAAAATGCTTCTTCAAACAAGGAACTTTTAATAAGAATGTAAGTCTCTGCATGTACATGCATATCCAGCATTTTAACTATGCTATGTTGGTCTCGATTTCTCATTTAAAACCTGTTTATATGGTAGCTGTTCTAATAATTGGTATCAGAACTTGAGGACTGAAAAGTGCAAATAACTCACCAGAATGATGTAGTAATGTTGGAGATCTTATACCAAATTTACAGGTGTTTTGTAATAAAAACAACAAAAAAACAACAAAACAAAACATGTGGAAAGTGCATAAGAAATTACATCTCAAAAGGATTTAAGAGGAATATAAATTTAAAATTACTTAGGTGGATGAGGAAATTAAAAGTTGATTTTCATATCTCTGACAGTTTTATAGACACTGGCCTCAGAAAAAGGTGTGTGTGGTGTGCATATGCATGTCCACATATGTGGTGGGAGGAAGAAAGAAGGAGATCAATATCACAAACATCACAGGAGCTGTGGTTTTTAAGAAAGCTTAGTCACTGCAGCTTTTGAAAGAAAAAGAAAAAAAACACTGAAACCTACTTTCTCAAGCAAACTCAAAAACTGTCAATACCACGAAGAAGAAAAAAATCACTCTCAAGAGGGATCCAGAATTGCAGATGAATCCTTTAATCAGTTTTATTGTTGTCTACTCAAGGCAGGTCCTTAGCCAGTGTACTTGCTTTAAAGTGGTCTCTGTTCAGCATGAAGTTTTGGGACCCTACTCAAAGTACTAGAACTCTTTCAGCGCACTGTGTCTGCAACCTAAAGCTCACAGCTGCAAATTCTGTTTCAAAGTAGGCACCTCTAAGCCAAACTTCCATCTTACTGGCATAAAACACTTGCCATCACTGCTGTAAGTTTTATTTTGAAAAAGCATGCAAAAAGATGAAGCAGACTTTAAAAGTACTGTTGAGGTGTGCTCAGTTTCCTCTAGAAACTATTTACTTGTTTATGTCCAAATGTATCAGAGCAATATTTGTTAGGCTACTCATGCTAGGAACTGTTTGAAGAGAGGCAGAAAATATTCAAGACTCTTAGATAGATGATCATGAAATTCAGATGAGATTCATAATGAAATCACATAATATATTTGTATGAATTCAGAACAGATATCAGAGTCTGCACTGCAGTAGTCCTATTTTGATTTAAACTGAAAAGCTCTCAGTAACTCCAAACCTTTCTTATTCCCTCTGCCTAAGTGTATTTTATCAGTGATCACAACTACTGTTGGCAACAAAATAGAGTATTAGTGTCTTTGACCCTTAAAATGGATCAGCTGGTATTTCCCATATCTTATCTAAAAAAATCCTCTACATTGAGTTACATTGCTCCTCCAGCAGAAATCACCATTTGTTTATTTTCATACTTAATAAATATATCCATACCTTCAGTGGCATAGCAGTTCACTTTTTAACTGTTAAAATGCATTTATAAATGACATTTCTTAATTTGTAAATAAAATTCTTTCAGCACTATATGTGAACTTTTTTTCCCAACTGAAATTCTGCATTATACTTCCAGAAAAATATTTCAGCAGCAGCTATTACACTTCATAGGTCTCAGAGTGTTAAGATTCTCTAATTCAACATTGTTTTTTTTTTTTCATTAAAACAACTTTGTTGAACTTCCATATCTGTGGTATACTGACAGTTGGAACACTTGTTGAAGACACATGAGAACTGGAGTCACTGATTTTCATCCTACATAACTTCATATTTAGCAGACACAGAACTTAGGCACTCTCTTTCACACACAGCCAGTACTCGGATCTCTTCAGTTACAGCAGACTCAAATTTACTCTCTCTCATACCTGGTTTGATATGTTTTCTACACCACATTTCCTATCGTGATCAAAAGATCACAGAAAGACAGAATTGAACTTTAAAATAGCCTTCACTAACATAAAAAAGAAAAAAAAAAAGAAAAATCTAAAAAACAGGATGAAGTGTAACGAAAAAATATATGCAAGGAAGAACAATCACTTGCATGGAAGAAGAAAAATTTTTCATCACCCTTTGTTAAGGAAAGGAAACAGGTAGGTAGCAGTGAGGATTGACAGGAAAATATTGGCATCAATATCTTGTGGCTGCAATAAAGGCAAGCATATGTTTTGACTGCTCTCCTTTGGATTCTTCCCTACTGATTTGTTTTTTATCACTCTCACAAGACAGTGCCCAAAAATAAACACAGTTCTTCAGCTGGTTAGTACAGGAGGTTCCTTAAATACTGATGAATATGAGGGAGGAATAATTTCATGCCCATGAAATAATCCATCACCAGCATAGCATTTAATACATCCCAGTATGTTGTTTCCTTTTATACAGTATTATGTCAGCTTGATTCATGGCCACACTACACAGAAGACTTAA